TTGTATGATTTGTTGCCATTTTAAAGGTAACTTCAAAATGCCGCTCTCATAGAAGTCCTATTGGTCTCTATTTGCAAAAAACTCTAGTAGTCGATTTTCACAATCCTCCCTAGATTCCAATTTTTTATCATTAAAGAAATTTTGCAATGCAAGAAAAAGATGATAATCGCTCAGTGCAGCCATCTACCGAAAAAATAATGGATTTCTTTTTCTCCAAACTAATATATTGTATGAATGCTTGGCTTGTTCAGTTGCTGGAGTTGTGGTTTTTTCTTTTTCTTTAATATTTATTCATCTTATGCTTTTTACTATCATTATTTTTGCTTATTTAACTGAGTTAAATGTGTGTCAAGTATCTCAATCCCTTCTAAACTGTCATTTTTAGTACCGTAATCATTGTACGAATGTATGTTGTGTGTTTTTTCTTTTTCTTTTTTTTTTTTTTTTTCATTCCAAATGTTTTTGTTTTTCAGAAACTGAACAAATAAATAAAAAATATACGAGATGAATAATAATTGCAATCGTTAATTTCAATTTTAACAACTTATGCGTTTCTCACCTCAAATCTACAGATAATAGTATATATTTACGTGTGTATTATGCTTTAAATACGACAGCAAGGTGAGAAGAAAGTAAACAACAACAACAACAGCAACTTGGCAATGTATGAAGACATGGTGGTAAAGCTGATCTCTAAGAATCTAAGAAGAAGAACGTGTTTCATAAACATACACCACTACAACACTACATCGCTAGTTGTACTGAGTATGCTAACATTGCACGAATTAATGTAACACCCCGAAGGAGTTACCTTTTATTATGTATTTATGATTCAAAATCATTTGCTGAATCACTTTAAGCTTAATGAAAATAATGAATTACATAGTGAGAAGGCTGTACATGTGTTTGGTTAGACCCATACTCGAGTACGCCTCTGTTGTGTGGTCTCCTTCATATGGGTGCTGTGTAGATTCAATTGAATCTGTTCAAAAGCAATTCTTGCCGTTCGCCTCTTAGGAATTTGAGTTGAGATCCGATCGCGTCTCTTTCCGCCTATGAAAATAGGTTGCTTCGGTTGACCTTACCATCTCTTATGAAACATAGAATTGTTCTTGACGTTTCTCCTTCATAATCAAAGTAATAAGTGGTGCTATGGACTCGCCCGCATTACTTGGTGAGATAAGCTTTAATGTCCCTAACCACCGTTTCTCTAAGCACTTTATCTTGATTAAGCTTAGTCAATGTAAATACAATTATGAGATGTTTAACCCGCTCAGAGTTGTTTGCAGACACCTAAATGACGTCTATCACGTATCCTCTTTATCGGACTCTTTAAAGTCCATTAAAGCTACACTGCTTAATATGCGTGATTTACCGAAGTCGTACTTAAACTAACATTCCACCCCTTAAAACTCCGTTTTTTATTTAAAATAATATTATGCTGGTTGCCAAGCTTATGCTTGTTTGCAATGGTTCAGGGATTCACTTGCAACCTGGATCTCTTCTTGTTGCGGGAGTGCTTCTGCGCTAGCTGTGTACAAGCTTGCCAACTTTTTGCATGCTTGCGATGACTTAGGGGTTGATTTGCAATTTGATCCTATACCCGTTGTGGGTGTGGCTCTATGCTAGTTGTGTACAACCTTTTTTTCCTTCTTATTTGTTTTATTATACTTATACTAAGTTTTAATATTAATTAATTTAAGTTAATTAACCTCGACTATTAATTTATTTTAGTTGAGTTTCATGTATGTGTAAATAAAGTAAATAAATAAAATAAAATAATTTGCGAATGCGATAAATGCTGTCTGAATTGCGGCAACACATTGTCAAAATTAAATTTTTTTTTTTTTTTTTTCAAAATTCCTCTGTTACACAGAACAGAATTGCGGATAGAGGAGGAAGGAAAAAAGCAGTAGCCTTTATATATGTTTGAGTTGAAATTGAAAACATCGCGAATGGCGGGAAAAATCACTGCAGATAAATCGTTCTAAAGAGAAACATTGTTTTTTTCGCAACTAAAGCAACTCATTTTTGATTTTATACTATCTTAGAAAGTGCACTAGAGAGAATTATCATTGTGAAAGAAATAGACACATGTGTGTGCGTGTTTAGTTCACTTAATCTTTATCTCAAATTACTATCATATATAAATTTTCAGGACAAACCGTTAGCTAGTAAGCCTTTTTTGCATATAAGTCTTAAACAATTTCCTGGGAATTCCTCTATGCGGTGATATCCAAAATATAGATCTGCGTGGTCCGAATTTGGTAAAGTTATTACCATTATAAAACAATTTTCACCATGTAATATTTTTACCATATAAAGATTTAGTTTTCGTAGGAACGAGAGGGAATTCAAAAAATTTCCCCAACCGATCGAAATTTCCAATAACAAAGTTCCAATACAAATTTAAAATTCCGAAAGACTTTTGTCAAGAAAATTTTGGAAAATTGTAATTTCTTTGAGAAGTGATCGGAAAAGTGGACCGATCCAAAACATTTTCGCCCTTCGCGTTCGCTCTTGTATCAAAGTACCGTCAGTGAATGTATCAAATTTTAGAAACAGAAAATAATTCCAAATCGATTGGTATAATAAAAGGTGAGTCTATCTTAAGGTCTTCTGAGTCCTTACATATGTCAAGCAAACTTGATACACTGTATACCACACTTGGTGTAGGGTATGATAAAATTAAATTGAAAATCTTTTTTTAATATATTCACTATTTAAATCCTACTCGTTGCTTACGGTTATTAAAAGCGAAAACTAAAATGTTTCAATAATTTAGTCTAATCAGCAAAGCATTGAATGTTTAAATTTGTTTTCTGATTTATATTGCAATTACCTGCGAAGCGTTGGGAAACTATTCAAAAATATGGTTTCAAATAACGTACACTACTGTACTGCATCGTCCGGTTGAAATTTGCGTATACATATGCTTATCTTTTTTTACAGTACGCCTTGGACAGTTTGTGGTCGAAGATTATATTGTGCTTGTGTGGATGTATATGACATCAAAAAAAACTTGAAATAGATCCACTTTTTTGAAATGATTGAATCACTTTCCAAAGCGATTTACGCTTGTCAGTCTCCCTGTCTGTCTTTTATTTTTGTGTTTCATCTACAGACCACAATTTTTCCGATATTATTATGAAATTTTACGCAAAGACACGATTAGGACTGGACCACATTTTGGACCAGTTCCCGTAAAAAAGCTTAAATTTGAGAAGGTCTTATATGAATGCCTTATAACCTGATCTAGGGTAATGAAATGTGGACCATGGTGGCTATTAAAGAATTCTTTTCAAATTCAAGTAAAACTTCTTTCTTATGCCACAACGTATACGCCAAGCCTTGCCTCCTTGCAGTATTTTTTTGAAAAAGGCTTAGGATAAGATTATTTTTACAGATACTTATTGATATTCGAAGCCAAGGAATTCCCTATAATCTCGGGTAGCCATTGTTCGAATACAATTTGCCGATACATTAGAATGTTAATAGTTTTCGCTTTGTCTAACAGCATTTCATCATTCCATTGAGGATATTTTAGTTTTAATTTTCGAGCTGTATGTGATTATGATTCGGCAAGAAAATTGCATAGATGACAACGGTGTAGGGATTGTTGATGACACGCGAATAACTGTTTATCCGTATCTGCTTCCTTTATAGAGCAAAATTTATGTATGCCTTCATTCAGGCACTAGAGCTAATAGTTCATCTCCATGCTTAAGAGAACTTGCTGGCTTCAACAAACCATCCTTGTAAGAGAATGCATAAGCTTTTGTTCTTCATCGGCAGGACCGTACAGTTGGGAGAGATCTAGAGTAGCCTTAGCTTCATGAAGCTATTTGGAATGCATTTGTAAGTCTAGTAAGTGCATGACAAGATTAAGTCGTTTTAGATAAAATACTTTCTCGGGAACAGCAAACGTGCAGTTGTCCCCAATTGCTAGTGTACTTCGAACATAAGTCAGGCTTGGAGGAGTATCCATGTCACATCTTAGGACGAGCAAAACTATCTTATCATTCAATTACATGTCTGTGATGTATCATCATCATTGAAAGATAATTGTCAGCCGTTGCTCGTTTCTTGTTTTTTTTGGTTCACAATTTTCAGTTTATTAGGTTTTGATATCTTAGTTTTTTATAAGCAAAAAAAAAAAAACATTTGTGACGTGTTGCTATTTAAAAAATAGGCGCCGTTTATCTTTTTTTTTTGTTTTCTCTTTTTTTTTTAAGGTAACAATATGTACGTAAGACACTCTGTAGGGATAATCAGACCATTGATTCATTGCAGTCTTGTGGCTTTGTATTGCTAAACTATTGCGATTGAGAAGCCTTTTGTTAAGAAAATTAAAAAAAAAAAATAAAGAAAAAAATGAGTGAAATACGTATTTTGAAGAAAAAATATGATTTGATTCCCTTTGTGTTTGCTTTATGTAAATTGTCACTTGAGTTCGTGATCTCATAAATCAGGTAAAAGAGAAAGATAACTAAGTAAACTTATTGCCACACGATTAGATTAGATTAGTTAGCTTCTAAGCTTCTCTCGTAAGCTTTTGACATAACCTTTTTGTTCCGCAGAAGTTAACATCTAACACGGTTATATATATTGTTGTTGTTGTTGTTTTATTTTTTATTACAGTTCATCTAGAAAACAAAAGCAAAAATATAATCTAATCGTGTAATGGTGGTGTCGTGTTAAAATTAGTGTCACACATGCCGTTATGTTATATTGAGTATGTGCATGAAAAGAAGTGGAAATAAAAACCGAAAAGACACAAAACACACACATACGCATACATCTTGCAAACGCTTTGCTTTGCTTTGCCTTTGTTTAAGAATTCAAGCATAAAATAAAATTTCAACACTTGTTAACTTTTATTGCCTACAAATAAGAAGATAATAATCGAACACAGAGAAGAAAAAAAAAAAAAAACAAACAAGAAAAGTTTAATATTAATAAATTCAAAATTTTATGTGGGAATTTCCTTTTTTCCGACTGACTGCAGGTGTCAATAGAATTATACGAACGAAAGAAGTTTGATAGATAAATTACTGCGCATGATCTTAATCATGATAACTCTCATGCAATTCCGATGAAATCATCATCAAAAAGGAGGAGAAAGCTTTTAAAAGAGCAACAATATCTACAACAAAAATCTACTCTTGGCAATGCCTAAGGAATCTTTTCAACCACAATTAGTTGCTTCTCACTCCTTTTACGGATTAAAAGTTTCTTTTATAAATTTGCGGATATGGTTTCGTCAATGATTTATTTAAAATTAAGGATATGCTGCTTCATTGGCCTATGTCTATCGATCTATGCGACTTATGTGGAAGTGAAAGCAGAAAATATTAAAAACTATAAGGCCTTGTGCGATTTAAGTCAAAAAGTTAGCTGTACAGCGGTATTCAACACACCGTAAGTTAAACAAATTTTTATAAAGCATCCGCTTTAGTAAATGATGATATGACATTTTGAATTTATTCCTTGTCCGTGTTTATGGTATACATTACGTTTACGCTAGCCCTCTAAAATGGTAACAAGCCGTCGAATAAGTGAAATTAGAAACTGCAATGAGAATAATTTATTTATTTATACATATTTAAAAAAAAAAAAAACAAGCAAAAACCCTATAGTGACACACCCCCCGCCCACCAATTTTTGAGATATTTCGATGAAATTTGGTAAAACCGTTTTTTTCTTAAAGACGAACGCTATTGAAAATGATTTTTATTGGATGTCTGTCCGTCCTTCTATGTTTATGCACAAGTACAGATCGTCATTTTTGAGAAATTTCACTAAAATACAATGTTTCGGTCAAAGAAGGAACGCTGTTTGGCTAAAGCAGTCAATTTTTTCGCCCACTTCCCATATAAGACTTCATTTTAAAAAGCCGTTGTAAGAATAACTGCGTTAGGCGCGAAGAGGTTGAGTATTCGTGTCGTTGACAGCTATAATATTCAATGAATTTTATCAATTCGTCTTTTCACTGTTTCAACTGGGAAACTTTCTTCATTTTCATGAGTAAAAACATTTACATCATGTCTATAGAACTTGTAGGATTCCTGGGCGAAAACCTAAAGTGATTATATATATATATATATCTTGAAGTGATTATATATATATATTTGAAGTGATTTTTTTAGAGAGCAAAACAAATGATAGTTGGACGTCAGAGACCCGAATCATACCGTGGGTACATCAAGCTTTCTCCGTCAAGTTATTTCAAATTTTGCCTATTAAGGATATGTGTGGTGAATCATTGTCCTCAGGAACATGTAGAAATCGATTCTCCGGCAAGGTTGCAACCCACTAAACACAACGCGCGAATTTGGTCTTTGCCACCAGTTGGGCAACTTCATTCGTCTTGAACCAAAATCTTTTTCGTATATTATTATCGTAGGTAGAGCCATTTTGATGGTTCGAACGTTCGGTTTCGTTTTAGCAGGAATTCGCAGATAAAAACTCAATGCATTAAAGTTTTCACTGTTTATATATACGATGCCCAAATCGAGCTTCTTTTTGTAGTCTAGGGCGAACGCTTCAAAACTGTTTTTCACTCAATATTTATTTCCTTAGCGATTTCATTAGATGGCACTTATCGATCCTTATCAATTTCTTGAAGAACGAAGAAACTTATCAACGAATTAGCGACCAGAGCATCACATTTTTCTCGACACTTCGAAATCGGAAGCAAGCATTTGCATATTGTTGATTCTGATAAAATATCCCCATCATATAGATCACAAAGTTTTTTTACATGAGAAGCTTGAGAAGCTTTATCGCCTTAATTAAAGTAATTTTATAAAATCCGAAGCATTTGCGTTAATTTTCAAAACGCTGCTACTTTCTATGGAATTAACCAGCAAACCGTAACGTTTCTTATTGTCATTAACTACGGATTTTCACACGTGTTGTGAGACTGCTTAACAAGATTAACTTTACCTAGGCAATGCATTAGGAAAAATGTCGCGGGCTTCTTCCTCGATCAATCATATTATTTCCGAGGCAGGTTAACTGCTTCGGGTCCTGAATGCTTTCTCGCAAATTAACTTGGTTTTTAAACTACAGATCTTTTTCTTAAGGTAACCTTAAAATGCATTTCGATTTCGATAACCTAACATATTGCGCCATATCGTAAAAACCTAGGTGTATAAATACTTTCATAAAAAAAGATCGAAATTGGTCCTTAATAAAGTTGTAGCTAATGTCAATGGCAATAATGATATGTAACTTTATTTCTGAACGGGAGGAGAGAAAATTTTGCAAAGTCGAATCTCTCTTTTTTTTGTTTGCAGTTATGGAAAAAGCTTTGGTTTGCTCTCTTATCTCTTTAATGATATTCCAAATCGCTGGAATCCTCCAAATGGTCTTTTAGGCACCGTGTACTACGTGAGCTTCATTTTTTCAAGTGAGTACATGCGAACTTGTAAAGAACATTTTATTATTATAAAAAAAAATTCTTTTTTTAACTTTGCAGCTTTCTTCGAACATAAGTCTCTCTTCAAATTGCAAATGACGCTATGTATTTGTTCAAATCTGTTGACCATATATTTGGCATATTTATTGTATTATATTTTACAGAATTTTTGTGTGATTTGTGTATCGATTTATGTGATAAATTTTCTTTGTTTATGCGAAATGTTTAAAATTTATAAGAAAGTGTGGTTAGTTAAACAAAATAAAAAAATCAAATAAATATTTTATCAATTTATCAATTGTAATCAAGTATTTAGAAGGTGGAAGTAAGGTCCTAGCATTACTGCAAAACTTTTGTAAGCTTCGCATTTTTTCCTTACGTATAAGTTCAACACTATTGGGCTGCACAGGCTTGGTCATTCATTGTACATTCTTGGGCGTATTAAACGTGTTTTTTGACAATTACTATGTTTCTGCGGTAAACATTCCCCGTTCGCAAAAATGAAGGTATTACCCACAGCTTTCCCGAAGAACTTGGAAGTGACGTAAATTTTTCCAAGGACATGTCTATAATATTGTTTTGTAAATAGAAAAGATCAGGCGCACCCTCTCCATATTAGAGAGCATGAAAACTTAGTTCTTTTTTTTTCTTTTACTCTTTTGGAATAACGATGATGGATTTTAAGGACCCGGTCACGACCGAATATAATTTTCTTGCTTTTTATTCTTCAATTTTACGCTTAAGGGCGATAAGAAGACTGAATTTTTGGAAAACTATTTCGTTACTATTGTTTACAGTTGGGAACGGTCACAAATAATCTTGGTGTCGAACGCGGTCGGACGCTCCGTTATTAGATTCCTTGCCTAATAGTGTAGCTCTCGCTCTTCTCGCCCAATAAAAGAGTTGCCAGTAAAGTAGTCATTCTTTTAATAAACTTCACAAGAAATGAGAGAAAAAAAAAAAATAAATAAATAAAATTAAAAAAACTTTCAGCAATGATAAATGCAAGGCCAACAGGTAAGAAAACTGTGGTCGCCTGTGCCCGAATTTGCCATATGCACCACCTTTGTCTTAACAGCAAATCGGCGAAACAAGTGAAAATTTCAATGTTCAATATTACTGAGTGGCGTTGTCCGATTTTTGTACAGGTACTGTGTGGTCAGCTGACTGTGGTAGTCTATGAACAATTAAAAAAAGCAGAGATGTTATCCGTTTGTGTTGCATTCTGGGCGTGTCCCTTAATCGATTTGACTCATTTACAGTATCAACCAGCGTGCAAAGATTTCCAATATTTTTGTCAAACTCGAAATTGACATCTTAATTTCTGCAGCCAGGAGAATGCTTACCCCTGACATTCCAGATAGACAGACGGATATTCTATAATTCGCAAATTTCTTCTGATCAAGCATATACATGTAGGCTTTCCTCGCTTAACATGATACTTGTAAAGCACGGTTTCAATGCAATGCCATTTCAAAATATCGAATATTTTTGTTTTTCAATTAATTTTTCGAATCGATCTACAGGGCGACCCAAGGACTAACGCTATTGAAAATGGTTAGAATTGGCTCACTTTCTCGACCACTCTCCATGTAACGCCCTATTTTGCAAAATCGTAATATGGCTAAAAATTCCTCCATCTGTCATAGTATTTGGACATTGTAAATTGGTTTGAAAAATTTCGTTCGACTGGAGCAAAATTTTTGAACCCTCTCTCATATGAACGTTCCTACTAAAACTGTGTCTTTATACAGTAAAAAACTACAATTGCGTATATTTTTTGGTGAAAATTAGTGCATAATGGCAATTCGACATAGAAATCAATCGCGCCGAATTTGGACTAGGTAGGCCTATTTTTTGGATACCATTGCATATAAGGATTCGAGAAATATCCGGTCTTTCGTGAAAAGTATACCTTTGCTTGAAAATTATTAAGTAACTTTTGGTGTATTATTAACGAAATAACTGAATAACTATATCACGCGAAGTGATGTAGGGGATCGAATACTCGATCTTACCCGAATATAATGTTCTTAATTATTTTTTTATAGAAACTTGAAGGTAACTTACGAAACGAAGTCGAAAAAAAATGAAAATATTTTACAATTTACGATTTCGTTTCAATATAACACAACACACATTGTATTAATTTATTCCAAGATATCTTATAAGACGGTTTTGACGCAACACGAATAAGATGTCGGTACAGTGTGGTACACACTTTTTTGGTTTATGTTTTACCTAAGCTTTAATTAGATTATTCGATGTGATACTTGTCATGGTTCCGATATAACGCGGTACAACTTAACCGTGTTAAGCGGCAAACACCTGTATAGTTTATAACTTCCCGACTTCCCGACTTCCCCTTCTTGCAGGCTTTCTAAATCTTTTGACAATGTGAATAGACCCCTGTCTTTTGGTGGTAAGTATAATAGCGGAAATAATTGAATCAGCGAACGTGACGATATTTATAATTCTAATTCGCATTCCCACTTGTGAGTAGGATATATAAAGTTTGTAAGAGTCTATGCGACAAATGTCTGCTGGACCATTTGTACGACTCCTACTCATAAAAGGTCTTATCTTGAAACCCTATGAAGCGTCGCACGACATATATTTTTATTTCTTCATATTTTTCGATTAAAATTGGTGAACAACACAATAAACCAATACGCAATATTTGGATGGAATGGGGCCCTTTTTTGAACGGCCTTTCGTATGAATGTTCATTCACAAAGTAATCACGAAAAGTAAGCCTTTATGTGGCGACAATATCTGACTTTCAGTCTTTTATGATAAATATTGGCAGCAAAGTTTTGAGTTGCCATGTAAATTTGCTGCAGTCCGGACCACGTACGTATCTGTCTTATTTCCTTACCTAGGTAGGTACAATTTTTAATATTTTTTTTCTATGACGAAAACAGGTAAAGGAAAAGCTCTGTCAAAAAAACTATGAAATTTGTCGAATATTTGCATTTTGAGCTTTTTGACTTTTGAAGGCTTCCTCTGGTATTATAGGTGTATGTATTAGATGAGGCGATGTAGAGTATTTAATGATCGGATAGAAGATATTCACTCCGTTTATAATACAATTTGGACTTCGGAGGGATGTTGCCCTATGTTCTGTCTTATTCTGTTCAATTTCTTTCTTCGTGAGCTTATCCTAACGTCCTTGCCATTTATCCACAAATGTGTATGTCTTGGACGCCTCTTACTTTAAACATTAAAAGCTAACATAAAAGTGACTAATATTGAGAATTTGTTTGCAGTCAGTGATGCTTATTGATTTCTAAGGTATCAATTTTCTGTTAAATAATTTTCAAGACAATGAATGGCTCAAGGACGTCTGTTGCTATATGAGGCAAACTTTACACATTTTCTCTTGAAGTGTAATTTTTAGCAGCAAATTTAACTAAACTTAAAATCTAGCGTGAATTGCATCCATTCGCGTACGTAGGTTTAATTTTATTGTTTCAAAGTATGGGTTCCCCTCCCTCCATTTACGTAAATAGTTAAGCTCGTAAAAGTCTTATGACTCCTTATTATAATAACGGTACGTGTGTGTATCTAATGAGCCGCAATGTTGACGGTTGCCTAATGAGATGGAAATCTAAAAATAATTTTAACCGTTGCATTAATTAATATTAGAAAAAAAGAGACCTACGTGCGAATGTGACGGTATGTCTGCATAAATACATATGTACATAAGTATGTGTAAAAATATATATGTATGTATATATATAAATTATTTTTAAAGATTATTTTTTTTTTTTTTTTTTTTTTGCAAAACAATCTCCCAGATTTGTCAATAGCTCCTACTTTGGCAAAATAAAACTTATGGCTCTTGAAAATATGACAACAAAATCTTCAACAATAACAACAAGAATAACAACAACGACAGCAACAACGAATATTTTCAATGAAAATCATCAAGGAGATCGTTATAAAAATTAAAAACAAAACTAGACAATAATACAATCACTGTTTGTAATAACGAACAAAGATGCTTCTTCTATTTGAGCCGATCATAGCTTATAAGTGTGTTGAATACTGCAATCTATGTAGAGTATATGCAGTTTTCGGTTTTTTTTTTTTTTTTTTTTTTTTTGTTAATTTTTTTTTTATTTTATATTTTTTTATTTATTTTTCGTTAACACGTGGAACAAGAGCACACACAACTTCTTTGATAACAATATGTCAGCTAAGCTATGCTGTGCGCTTTGTACTGATCTGTGTGTATACATCATACTTATAAGCATACATCTATCTATACATATATTCATTCACACATATGTTCTGAAGATTGCACATGAATGACTTTAGATTAAATAAAGATGAACTGTACTGAACTGCACTGCCAAACTCTGGTTGACTGGCTGACTTTAGAGTGGCATCAACATGTGGCACGAGTGATTGTTTTCATGTCAATTGTGCATGTGAGTATGTTGGTTTATATATATGTAGTATAAGGCTTCCTAATAAGTAACATACGTACAAAACGTTAAAACAAAATCATACCATCATTTACAATCGACAGATCCTCTCTAAACTTGGCTCAGCGTCGAATGCGGCGTGGATTCTGCTCTAGCGTTCATATAAATATTTGCGCGGTTTGTATTAAAACGTCAGTCAGAATTTTCGTTTTCATCTTATCATCTCCAAAAAAAAGTCAAGCTCCAGTACGGTATCGAGGTAAAGCGTTAGCTTGTGTTTAACAGGACCTTTGCCACAAGTTCCTGTTATTACCATTTTTACTTACAAAGTTGTTGATTGCTGAAGAGTGATTTTTCATTAGTTGTTGCAGAGAACTATAGAAAAAAAGTGCAAAAAAATGTTAAAATTTATTTGTGTGACATTATTGGTGGTTACAGTTTTAGCCCGTCCAGAACCACCAGTGAATACATATTTACCGCCTTCTGCTGGCGGAGGAAGTGGGGGTGGTTCTCCATTGGCACCGTCGGATACCTATGGTGCTCCTGGAGTAAATGGTGGTGGTGGTGGCGGTGGTAGCGGCCCGTCCAGCACCTATGGAGCTCCGGGTTCAGGCGGAAGTAACGGGAATGGGGGTGGTGGATTTGGTAAGCCATCTAGTACTTATGGTGCTCCTGGCTTAGGCGGTGGTGGAAATGGAGGTGGCAGACCCTCAGAAAGTTATGGTGCACCTTCCGGTGGTGGAGGAAATGGATTTGGAAAGCCCTCTTCAACTTATGGTGCACCCAATGGAGGAGGCGGTAATGGTGGTCCTGGAAGACCTTCATCTACTTACGGTGCGCCCGGTTCAGGGGGTGGCAATGGTGGTGCTGGCAGACCTTCATCTACGTATGGTGCTCCCGGTTCAGGGGGCGGTAACGGCGGTTCTGGCAGACCTTCATCTATGTACGGTGCTCCTGGTTTAGGAGGTGGTAATGGTGGTTCCGGCAGGCCTTCGTCTACCTACGGTGCTCCGGGTTCAGGAGGTGGAAACGGTGGTTCTGGAAGACCTTCATCTACCTATGGCGCACCCGGATCAGGCGGCGGAAATGGTGGTTCTGGCAGACCCTCTTCTACTTACGGTGCTCCTGGAAATGGGAACGGTGGTAATGGCTTTGGAAGACCGTCTTCCACTTACGGAGCGCCAGGTTCAGGTGGTTCAAATGGCAATGGCAAACCTTCTTCTACTTACGGGGCACCGGGATTAGGTGGGGGTGGCGGTCGCCCTTCGGATAGTTACGGTCCGCCAGCGTCTGGTACTGATGGTCGGAATGGAAACGGTCACGGTCAGAGTCAGGAATATTTGCCTCCAGGTCAATCTGGCGGTAGTGGAGGAGGCGGCTACAGCGGCGGCTCTGGCGGTGGCGGTAGCGGTGGCAATGGCGGTGGCGGTGGTTATGGTGGTGACCAAGACAACAATGTAAGTTCAACTATAAGATAACCATACCATATAGAAACAAACTAACGCTTCAATAGACTCAACTAAAATTTATACAGCGCAACACAAAAACTTCAAAGATCAACCAACTCAAAATAACCCAGAAAAAAGAAAACCAAAACATTAAATAGAAAAGAATTACAAACAACCTTTACACGTTGGCAGTTGACCTTACAACACCCAATAAGAAAGAAAAACAACAAGCATACAATAACTTTTTTTCGTAACACCATCATTCACGCTTTCAGGATGCTTTTTCTAATTGGTCTTTGGTTATGCTAAAATTAACTAAAAACAAAAAAAAAAAACCAAAGTTTCTCTTTACGTGTATTCATTCCGTAATTTCTAGGAACCAGCTAAATATGAATTTAACTATCAAGTTGAGGATGCTCCCAATAGCCTTTCGTTCGGTCATTCTGAAATGCGTGATGGTGATTATACAACTGGTCAATATAATGTTTTATTACCCGACGGCAGAAAGCAAGTAAGCATTTTAAAAAAATTAACGCATACATTGATCGTAAATTAAACTTTGTATTGTCAAGTTTTTGGAATAAGAATCTTGACGAAACTAACGGGATTTCCGTTAAATTGGCCATGCGTTACATTTTGATCTCTTTTGGAAATCATACGCTTTAAGCATTGGATTTTTATAGCTCTTCCAAACAATACCCCTCAGCAGTTTGAGCGATATTTTTTTCTCTACTCATTCTAAACTTTTGATAGAATGACCAACTTATAGAGTGCATCTGTCGGTTTCAAACAATGTATGTCGACAGTTAAGTTATGAACTTCGACAAGTCAGCCCGCAAAGAAATTCTCGCCATTAGCTTAAGAAAAGAAAATAAGAAGAAAGGACATTTCATAATTAAAGTCGGAAATGCATTCGCTTTTGAAATTGTTTTGTTTTATGATAATTTTGCTTTTAGGTTGTGGAATACGAAGCTGATCAAGAAGGCTATCGTCCCCAGATTCGCTATGAAGGAGATGGCAGCCAAGGAGGTTTCGGTGGTGATGGCGATGGTTATTCCTATGAGCAAAATGGTGTCGGCGGAGACGGTGGCGGTGCCGGGGGTTCTGGGGGTTATTCGAATGGTCAAAACTTAGGCCCTAACGGCTATTCAAGTGGACGTCCTAATGGTGGAAATGGCGGTGGTCGTCGCGGTGGCGGTGGCGGTGGTAGTGGCGGTGGACAAAATTTAGGTTCCAACGGTTATTCAAGCGGTGCGCCAAACGGTTTCGGCGGTGGTAATGGCCAAGGCTACTCAGGCGGTCGTAATGGAGGTGGAGGTGGAGGACGTAATGGAGGTGGATATCGTAATGGAGGTGGCGGAGGTGGAGGTCGTAACGGAGGCGGCTCTAATGGTTACAATTACGATCAGCCCGGAAGCAATGGATTCGGACGCGGCGGAGGAAACGGTGAAAATGACGGCAGCGGCTATCACTATTAAGTGTTGAAATGAAGGCAAAGAAAATCGGAAATGACTTTCTAGTTAGTGTTCGTTGATTTTCTGGTGCAGTTAAAAAACTGTGAATTTAAAGTGACATCAGTTTAATCAACCATTCTCTAGACTCTTCTTTTTTCTTTTTTTTTTTTTTTAGTTAATCTAGTTTATTTCTCGTAACTGTATAAAAAAATTGAAGACTTTCTTTTCTTCTCGTTCTTATTAATTTAAATTCTTAGCACTTTATGAAAATGCGTGGCATATTTTTTTTAAAAATAGTCTTTTTAGCGAGTTTTCTTTTAATTTCTATTTTTTAAGATTATTTAAATGAATTTTTTTTTTTTTATATAAATTAAAGACAAAAGTGTCCTTTAAAATGAGTGACGCGCAAAAAAAGAAAAAACCTAAAGGAAATAATAAATTTAAGTAAATGACCCTGGCATGTGTATGTATATATATTTAAAAAGGAAATGACAAATAAAAATGTTTTATAAAAAAATTTACATTTATTGTATAATTAAATTTTCCCAATGTAAACTTGAGTTTGCTCAAATTCATCATCATAATCTCCGAAATTGGTCCATGTGTAATTCCATCTACTAGGTGCAGCACGAGGATCTAATGGTTTATTTGAAGGCGGCACTGCCGTACTATTGTAGTAATCAAGTTCGAATAATACTGAATCCAATATGTTTGGATATCTAAATCGAAAATAAAATTACGGTATGTTATGCTTTGGTAGAACACGCACTTACTTGTGAGCTAAGCTATAGTGCTCGCATGGATCGTCCTTAATATTATATAGACAAGGTTCTTGTAAGGGGTTACATTTACTGCCCTGTTTTAAATAGGGCACTCTCACGTTACAGTTAATATTCGATTGTGACCGTAAGCGTATAATGTCAGCCGTTGTGGGGAGCATATTCAAAGCCTCTAAAGCTCGACCCGTCAAACATAAGCGTATAGCTTTGTAATCATAAAGTCTTGGATCACGATCGCCGGCTGGACCATACCAACCATCCCAAGCTCCCTGATAATTGGTACCCTTTAGAAGCTTCCAATCACCGACAGTTAAAGCCGAACTTCCCCAAATATCGTCAATATTATGAAGTATAATCTTGCGAGGTGAGGGCTCATCTTCAGATAAGGCACGCCATATACTGATACCATCTATTTCAGAGTGAGTAAGACTAAAAAAGATTCTCTTTTTTTCCCCAAATAGATTAATTATTACTTATTTTCGATCTTACGGCGAAACTGGATTATCAGTAATGGCTGTTAAAAGCGTTGGCAACCAATCTGTTATGTGCATAACTTGATCAGCTACGCGACGTGGTTTCTTTAAACGAGGTGACCACAATATACCGGCTCCTCTTACACCGCCCTCCCAAAGGGTATTTTTTACACCCCGTAAAGGCCAATTAGATGCATGATTTAAATTAAAACCCTCTGCTGGTCCCCCATTATCTGTACTAAAAATGATAATTGAATCATTAAGCATTTGTTGCTTCTGCAATTGTTGCACTATACGCCCTACAGATTCATCTACTTTTGTAACCATAGCTGTAACAGAAAAGATTTTACTTATTGTTATTGTTATTGTTGTAGTTGTTAAATAAATGAATCGGTTAATGAGCGAACGTTCACATATATGCGACATAATAATAATGTTAGCTAATGGTGTTTATGTTTTATGATTTTATTGTTTTGTCACAATATGATGTCAACGTGAAGAAATGGTCTATTGTGGGAAGGTTTCTTATTATACGCAAAAATAATCTTATCTTTGTTTACCAGCATATTTTCTTCTATTGTAATTCGAAATGTGTTGCATTTTTGCTACGGTTTCGTCAGGCGCCGATAATGGATCATATGGATTTCCTGAATGCACCGCTGCGTGCGCTACATAAAGAAAAAGAGGCTCGGACACATTGTGATTTGTTATTACTCTAATAGATTCTTCTGTTACCAGATCCGTTGTATATTTTCCGTGGAACTCATAACCAACATTTAAACCTAATTATCAAACTTACTATTATTAGTATGCACTAAAGAAGAAAAGAAATTATATAGAAACCATTTCTTATATCCAAACCCCATTGTTGGCTTTCCACTGCGGTATGATCGAAATAATCATGATGTCCCGTCCAATAGCCAACGTGGGATCGAAAGCCCCGATAGAGAGGTGAATAAATATGTTTATAATGACCCAAATGCCATTTCCCAGCAATGTGTGAAGAATATCTAGATCAAGGGACGTTTATATAAAATTCAAGTTAGATGAAAGTTTTGGAGAAACTATCTTACCCAAAATCATTGAAGTATTGTGGCATAAGTTTCTCTGTTAAAGGTAAACCTCGCGGTTCAGCGCCATATAAAACAGTATGCTGCATACCTGGTAGTTAAAGAAATCATACTTTAGTTAGGAGGGAGGAAATGGGAAAGTTGCTAATGATAGACTTACCCGTATGTATGGGATGTTTGCCCGTCATTAAGGCTGATCTTGAAGGTGTACAAATTGGATTAACGTAATATCGATTTAATATGATTCCCGAGAATGCCAAGGCATCAATATTCGGTGTAGGAATTTGAGCAGATCCACGAAAACTCACATCATTAAAACCCTAAAAAAGAGACGCGTTGAAGCGTTTCATTGCCATTTAGACTTTTCGACATCATATCCTGAGGTTTGCTCCAGTCCTCTTTTACCATTTAAGTTCGGCAACCCCTACTGGCTTACTATAGCGGACTACAGATTTTAAAACGAAATACTCGAAATTTTTGTGGAAATTCAAGCTTTATGATAAGCTTCATCAAGTTTGAAATCGATTCGAATAATTGTACTAACTAATAATTGCGTTGTGAAAGAAAGGTTGAAACAGATTAGTGTTCCTGTATTTAGAAAACATTAAAATCAAGTGAAAGAGTATTGCAAGTGAAGGCTTAATAGTTTTTTTTACGGAAAAAGAAACTTGCATCCAGAAACTTGAAAAGCCCTTCCTTTTCAAATCGTTTTCTGAGACTATCGATTAAAGATTCCATTTTTGGGATATTCGTATGAAAGAATGGAAACACTCTTTGGGCACACAAGAACACCAGGGCGGAAGTACACGTTAATGAGAACGAGCAGCTTACGATCATTACATTGGCGATAAGAGCTGTTCTTTATTAACTTTCCCTAAATTGGTTTTGTATTATTGAACCGAATCTCGTTTTTGCTGATAAATCAACCTATAACGTCTTTTTACATACTACAGCTTTTTCCCGTGTAACAAGCGCCGCATTTACATCAGCTGACGCTGGCCGCGTTTCTAAGCTGTCCTTTTATTGGATTAAAGTACGAACTATTTCTCATAGACATGCCAAGAATATCTGACTTTACCGTCAATGTTAATTGTTCGGCTTACTTCGGCTTGGGTCGTCGTAATGTATTCATCCATGACAATTCAATCACGCTAATCCTTAAATTAAGCAGAAAGAGTTCCGCTTCTTATAAGCGTTCATTATTAGGCACGAAGCCTATTCAATTTTTCTAGCAAATATATTTATGACGCTATCATTTTTCAAATTTTTTCTTGTAAGCAGTTTTATAATTTCATAAGAGTGCAATTATGTGACACAAAAATCATTGTTGACGAATAACATCAGGCAAGTAACGAGCGTCTTTTCGAAAAACCAATAAGCAATCAAGTCCATATCTCGCAAACGTCTTATCCAAATAAGTTCACCTCGTGATACAGCAAGTGCTATCGCAGATTCCATTTGAGTGTTTCGTTAATTGGGAAGGCCACCACATTGTAAATTTTACATAAGATACAATTTACTTATGACATATTTGGATTCTACTTTCCTCTTTAATGAACGGAGTGCAGGTTGAACTCGCTATGAAATTATAAAAGTGGAACTAACTACGAAGACCGTATAGCACGCAACTCATTCACAGTGAAGAAATGAAATGAATTATTGAAAAGAAAATTATGTACTAGACGCCTTTTTTTAGTCTCATAAATTCTTCTCAACGAACTGCTGTCTGCAGCATATTAAATAAGCTAAAGAAAATCCTACGTAGTTCTACGAGATAGAGAAACAAACTCAAACGTTTATTCTATACTTGTTAGCTTATTAGCACAAACGGTTATTAACACGGAAATATTATAAGCAGGAGTAAGAGATATAAAGAAAGCCAGTGACTATGGTGCATATATATTGCTTAACTGCTGTCTCAACAAAGATCGGTACGTACATAATGCGTTTTTCAAATCTAAATGATACGGTGTACAACATGACGTGGAGAAAAGAAATTGGTATTCGCGGTTGACGGAATCGTTTATGTATATCAAAATTTGACACTTATGCCTAAGAAATGCAAGGAATTTTATGCTGCAGCATTATCAACTCAATCGCATTTTACCTGTTAATCAATTTCATGCTAAGTATACACTTTTATATATTCTCACATATCGACTCATCGCATTCTACCCGCTTATCAATTTTATACTATGTACACACTTTCACATATTCCCACACATCGATCATGTTAAGTATACATTTTCACATATTTTGACACAATGTAATTTAAGTAATGACTTAGTTTGCTTAAGCTGGCAAAATTACTTAATATACAAGACACTGTCCACTTTTTAGTTAAGTCAGATTTAAGACACAGTTAAGCCAGAGTTATGTTAGAGAGTCAGAATTAACATACCATTATATAAATGTCAAATTGTTTTTCCATTTAATGTGTTCCACTCTAGTGCATTTTGTCTATTGATAGGATCTAAGTCGGTTTTACGGTCACTTTGTAGATAGCCTTTGCGACCGATTCCTGCTAAGTACGAATTTGTTTCTTATTCCTGGTATATTTGTTGGTTTACTATTAAAATTTTTGCATCTTTATCACAAATGTCTGTTTACGGAAGAGGTCGGGGGAGAGAGATTAAGTTAGCCTAACCTGCAGCTTTTCATGTTCACTTGCATGACCTGAGCTTAAATATAGCAGACAAAGTGCTCATTGAGAAAGGAGAGGACAAAGATATTCTTTCAAATTTCGAAAGACGAAAGGGAAACCTGTTTAGATATGCAATGAAAAAACCTTATTCTTGAGACGTCATTACTTACCAAATCATCAGCCAATATAAAGATAATGTGCGGCTTCTTTTTCGTTAAGGATTGAAATATATCTTTATCATGAAGATCATTTGAATTGATTAAACAAATGCTTTTTAACAGAAATAATATATATATAAACAATCGCGACATAATGACAAAACGCGAGACAATTTGTTTTACGGGAATTTCACGAGTCAATCATTTGCATTCAAGATGTGTATGAGTTAATGTTAATAAACTTTACGTTCAGCGTTATGAGCATGACTTTGATCGAATAATTTTTAATGTCACCATCAGTTCATCTAATTTTAATTATAATTCTGTTTTTATTTTCTTAATTCATTCATTATTTTTGTTTTTTCAATTTTTTCGGCACTTATAAAATAAAAGAAAATGATTTGTTTAATTTAAATTCTTTCCACTCGTTTGATGTTCTTTTCAAAATATCGCAATAGAAAATTTCTACGAGCTGCCGTTGACGAAGACCTCTAAAATGTAACTAAATTGCCAAGCATTGCTTGCATTTTAAAGTGTGTAATTAGTAGTGTTGTTGTAATTCTCGATTTAATATAGCGGTATGTGCTACACATAAATATAAAGGATTGTTTTAGAAATTACGACACGTGATCTCGGCTTATCTTATCTTATCCCAATCTTATGCTCATCAAAGGTAAAGCATTTTATGAATTGACAGACATTAGACTTCGTACACATAACTTATCATCTATTTTTAGAGTAAATTTGGTAGCAACCAAACAACTTCTTTTAAAAATATTTTAAACTTAACTATGAGACGCATCTCTCTCTCTCCCTCCGTACGACGCGTTGAATTATTGAAGTTTAACTGCCTTTTAATAGCCTGAGTAATTGAACTCAAGGTACTTACGTGTAAATAGAAAGTACACATAATATTCGCCTTCAAGCGAATACAACTTTCTTAGTTGTTATATACAACACCGTGAAATGGACGTCTGTCTAATTTGTCGAAACGTTTGCAACGCCCAAAAGGTGGCTTCAGAGAACCCAAAAAGTGTACGCACTCGTAACGAATCGACTTAATTTTCCGTCTGTCTGTCCATCTGCTGGTTAAAATAACATAGCTTTGAAAATTATTGCCAGCAGGTTTCCTGAGCAATGGACGTGGATGGTCCATGTTACAACATAAAGGGATAGCAGCCCGGCTTTCAAAAGCAAAGAAATTGGATTTCTTACACTCAACGGCATAGAGTGTTGAAATTTAACTTTTTTTTTTCTTTTAAGCTGAAGGTAGAAAAGATTCGGCCACAGCCGGACATAATTTCCTCGCTTATTTTATGTTTCTTTCGAATTGCGTTTATTCCGCCTTTGTTTATAATGTATTCACGTTCGCGTCAATAGAACTTTAACAGAGCAGCTGATAATATGTAAATTTTCAACACATATGTTTCTAGTTATTAAAATTGGTGTAACTGTGTGTATGTGAAAACCTCATAGAGTTCACATCGGCACAAGAACTTATTGAATAATTTACACAATTGAGATACGATCGCCGCAAGTAATGAAAATAAAAAAGAAAACAGCAAACGCTATGGAACGAATCTTGAATATGATCTATGTTCAGAAGAGCAGCTATGTTAAGTATGATAAATTAATTGATCTATAGCAACTACTCATCATACCGAACAAGCCTGGCCAATAACATGCTCCAGATTATAAGGTAGTAAGAATTTCTTTTCAATCTTTCCAGCTTTTTAGCTTGTACGTAGCCCATTGTTCCTCTCTTCAAATTTGATGATGAAATAAAGAACGAAAGATTTGAAGCTTTCAACCAAGTTTTTATGCGCTTTAGACTATAAGTTAGAAAACGAACAAAGCGGCGAATATGTTTAAAAGGAATTTTCCAAATTCGAAAATTGTCTCACTCGATTTTATGCTTATTGCAGAAAAGCCAATTAATTTACATTAATTGCTTCAACAGCTGATAAGCGGGATAGATCTGCCATCAATATTTATATCAATCGTTTTGTGTCTGTTGGCTACAAACGTAAAGATAATGTTAATATATCGACGATTGTCGCTGTTGAATACCAAAATATCTTTACACATAATAATATGGGAGATGCGTACGAAGTACTTGACCGTCAGCTTTCATTTACATTGATTCAATTAAGTCAATACCGTTTGTAAAATGTACAAATATTAAATCATAAGGTAACAGATAATCATACGAATTACTTAGGGTAATAATTACTTTACACTGAGATAATTACTTTACACTCTTACATTATTGCAAATTTTTGCGATTTGAATATAAAAAAAAAATTTTTCGATCCTGCCAGGAGTCGAACCTGGAATCTTCTGATCCGTAGTCAGACGCGTTATCCATTGCGCCACAGGACCATATGCCTAACTTATGAAGTTTGCTCGTACATATTATATAAAAATATGCAAACTTAAAATTCTATTTTTATTACTCATACACTTGATTGCAAAAGCTCTAACTCATGCACAAAAAACAGCTTTTCTGTAAAAAGCTGCCATATGAACTCAAAGTTAATTGCTATTTGTGGGAATATTTGTTTAGAAAACGTACAACTTTTATGAACTAAACAGATAAAAGACCGTTTCGCTTAAAGAAGCTCTTCACTAATTTTCCTTGTTTCCATGTAAAGTTATTCTTCTAATGGATGGGATCGCGTATGGGATCCTAGTTAACGTGATTTAAAATCGTCTAAATTTAGAAAATGTAGTCTTCTTGTCCAAAGGTTTATTATTCTGTAACCATAAATACTAAAAGTAAGACTTTGTTGTCGTATAAATACACTTCGCGAGAGCTCTTATATGTGATATGATTCGAAAAATAGAGCACACGTGTCCCAAATTTTTTGCCGTTAACTTTTATGTCATCCACTAGTTTTAATTATAAAAGATTAACAATTAGAAGTTTTGGCCTAATTTTTGCTTCTCGTAGAAGAGACATTTTTCGTCAAGACATTTGAAAATTGGAAAATTTATTTTTTATAACGACTATTTGAAAGTAAGACGCTAGACGAAGAGTGTTCTCAAAAAAGATTGGATCCAATCCATTTTCAATACCGTTCCTCCTTAGCCCGATACACGTCAGTGCAGAGCGATAGCCTGAACACAAAAATAACTTGATAAAAATCAAACAGATAGACGGACCGAGAAAAAAATTGAAATTAAAATGATTTTAAATCCAACTGCTTAATGCAAGTTGGGTCTCCATTGAGTCTTACTGGGCATTGCATATGTCTGCCCAAATTTAATATAAGCTGTACCACATGTGGCGTAGACTATAACAAGAATTTTAATCGCTGTGGTCTAAATTTTGCTCCCCTTGCTGAGATACGGCACGCCGCGTATGGTAACGGTATGTTTAATCTTTTTTTACGCAACTGCATGAAGACCTGGAGATAATCTCAAGGGTAATAGATTCAAAAATCATCATCAATCATTTCATCATCAGCCTGTCTGCTCGGGTATGGTCTGATCCCATCAACTTCCGATAGGGCTCCTTGATCTAAAACACCTCAATGTACCAAATTTCATCATTGAAAATGGCGGCCTTAAGATTGAGTACAAATTTATGGGGACAGACATCAACGGACAGAGAGGCTTGGATCAATTCAAAAAATGGTTCTGAACTGACGGGTATAATATAAGATGCATATAACCTGAGCTCTTCTGGATGTTACATACGTCCGCACAAACTTAACTACTGCTACTAAAAAAATTACTAAATTTGGATTGCGTCAGTTTCAAATTATTTTTCATACCTCTTCCCACATAGGGATTTACATTAAAAAAAACGCCTTTGTGGGGACACACCGTGTAATTTTTGATATTTTATGACAAAGATCACTGAAAATATTACAAAAAGTGATGTACGGTACTTCATATATCTCTGCCTAACTATAACGATTGCAGTTGTCTAATAGAGGTGGACGTGCTTTGAAACTAAATAACCTATTAAAAACATATGATAATGCAGCAAATGTAGCAATCTATGTAACTGTAGGTGTCCTATCATATAGCCGTAAAATAACATTACTTGCGGACTTGCAGACATTACACGTTTAAATTACAATTAAAATAGAAAAACAGTATAATGATGGCGACGTCTTCAAGTACGAGGTGTGTTCAAGGAAAAGCTCACTTTGTATATTTTTCGAAAAATATTTATTTATTGATCAATATCCGTTTTATGCTCTTCAATGTAATGATCTTTAGATACATTGCATCAGAGCTTTTTCCAATCCTCGAAACACTTCCAGTATGCGCTTTTTGCTATGATCCTAACCTCTTAGAGCGATGCGGTCTTTAGCTTCCTAATCGTGGGAAAACTCCGTCCTTTCGTGCGTCTTTTCGATTTTGTGAACAGGGACAAATCGCAAACGGAAAACGACAAATCTAAATCGTCGTCGTTGACGTCGTTCAACAGCTCCTGATCGACCCTTATGGAACGGTTCTTTTAGGTATAATTTAGCAATTTCGGAACAAACTGCATTGCCACACGTTTCATGCTCAAAATATCCCAAAAAATTGCATTGCATGAGCCACCCGACATGCGGACATCCTTAGCAAGTTCTCCAGTAGTGATCCGACGAATTTCCATAAAAATCTTCTTCACTGCTTCAACATTTTCATCGGTTATTGACGCACGTACAGGATGTGGTGGTCTTCCCGGCCTTTTGTGAAGAGCTTGTACAGCTTATAAAACAACTTTCTTTTGCTCAAAGTGGATCCGCCAGTTGCCACAGCCAGTATCTTAAGTGAGTTGGAGTCACCAAGCAACACAAAGTGCGTCTAACCTTTACACCTATCAAACACAAACTAAAAATGCGAAGGGGCTGATAATGTCAACATACAGTACAAACATAAGTAGCTCACGAAATTTGAAAAGTCATCTTTTTTTGAACACCCCTCGTGTATCCAAGGAGTAACGTAAAATATACACTCTATGGTAGCACATGTAATAATATAAAGCAAAAACTTATAACATTAGCTTTCAGAGATCCATTTTTTTTTTTTTTTTTTTTATGAATTCTTATCCACAGCAGCAAAAGGAAATAATATCTGTCCATGCTTTGGGTAACGATTCCATAAGACAGACATATTGTATTTATGCACATTTTAAATAAATCTAACTCATCAATATATTTTATCAAGGCTAGATATTTTTGCAATTAAACTAAATGAAAAATTTTTTTTTTTTCTGGCAATCATAATACTAATAGGGCCGCATTCTACTCAGGAATGTAATGAAGTAATTGAAAAATTCGCAGAGCACACCACTTGAAAAGTAAAAATTGATACTATTTTTAACTATTCGTTTCTCAATTCAAGTCAAGTCCCTGAAACTATTTCCTGGAAGTCCCTTAAATTAATCAAACTTGACTTTGACGATCTATTCACTTAATGAGGAATACTCGCTGCGCACGATTCTTTCAAAGTTTAGAAACTACCCAACGCCAAAGAAATCCAACGCAGATCGGAAAGTGGATGTGTTCAGAAATTCGCATTATAACTAAACAAAGTTTAGGGGATCCTGCAAAGTGTACATATTCTTGATCGTTGGAGCAAGGCCGATTCTCCGTAAGTGTAATGTCTACAGTAAACATTCACTTGGTCCCCTTTATACTACGGCAACAAAACCTCTATAAACTAGCGACTTGGGTGCTTCCCCAAGCTGTGCCTTCTCTCGCAAATTTTATATCTTAAAAATCTAGAAGGATTAATGAACGCTATTGCCTTATTGTATTATCGATTTCAAGACACTTAGTCAAAAAACAAACCTATTACATAATACGACGGTGACAATACGAGAATAGTTATGGCGCTGAATAACCCGACACGTTTCATTCTGCGTTTTGTCATGTCATATTTTCGCATAAGTCCACACATTTTTTTTGTTTTGTTTAAAATTATTAAAATTATTCCGGTGCTAATAAGTTCCGAATAAAACCTGATTCAAACGGCCACCTCGATGAACTCATTTTTTGAGAACTTTGTCCACTAAATTTGCCTTGCGACAACCGTGGATACCGTCCTGTTGTGTGGGAAACGGATTCTATCTACAAAAATATTTTCCCATCCAGACCAGGGAAAAGTTCACTATAAACGATCTACTGCCGAACTAAGAAAGCCTTAGAATTGGTCAATTTCAACAACAATCTCGTGAGCGACAGCAATATTTTCTTTACTTCGACAATTTTGTCTAAGTTTCAAAGTCTCAAAGAATCAATTTTTGGTTATTATATAATGCGTTCCCAAGAGCAGAGTTCGCCAAACATAGTATTTAAGGGCAATGACTAAGCTGACGTTACTATTTAACGAAATCGTTGGCGTACTTCATCAAAACCAATTTATAGAAATTGCTCAATTGTTTTCTAAGCGTCGTTTCGCGGCCCAGGTACGCATTACGTCAGCCTTTTGAAATCACATATCAGAAAATTCCAATTCTTTCCAATTGATCTGATGAGAAGCGAATGAAAATGTCACAAACAGGCACATTTATTCTGGCCATCACAAAAGTGACCGCAGGTGGACCACGCCCTTGTTTTTCAATCTCTGTTTCGAAGTATTGAAGTATTTGTAAACTCGATGGAAAATGTCACTTTTTTCCATACGAATGAGAAGTAAGTACAAGATGTGAAAAGGTTCCCAGTTTTGTTTAGGGCAGAATAGTGGTCTCAAAGAAAGGAAAAGAAAACTGATAAATATGTGGAGCAATTTGTAAACGACTTCTTTCTAACGAAAAATGAATAGTCCCAATAGTTATCGTCAATATTTGCTTGGTTTAACACTAAAACTGCCGCCGTTTTGCATACACATAGTTCAACATAAAGGGATTACTTTGATCCCCTATTTTTGTCGACATGAAGGTAGGAAACTGAAATGTTGCACAAACATTTCTTGATCGATTTAGAATCAGAATTGGCGAGCATTTTACAAAGGCGAACACGGTATGATGCACCAACCCAAGGAAGGTGGCGGGATCCAGAAAAGTCCTAAAACTGGGTGGCTAGAGTCATGGGCAACAGTCGCGATACGGGTTACCCACGCAAATAATAATAATAATATAGGAAAGAATATGAAAAAGATGTGGGCGGGGTTGTTCCAATTTTTCTTACAATCAGTTTTGAACCAAGGAATGCTTGTGCCAAATTTGGGATTCCTATGTTCACTTTCACGACTGCGGCCAGTGGACAAAAATAGGAGTACACAATGATCCCTTTTGATACAAATAGGTATATGTAATATATAAGTAGACCAGCAAGGAAAAAAACTAATTATAGGCATTTGAAGGTCTTTTCATATAAATAAAAGTTCACATGGTTTATGACCCGTTTTTTGAAGATCGAAAATTAAAAAGATCGAAACGACGTACTCGATATTGCTAGTGTTGAAGAGATCGAAACATTATAAAGCAGAGAAGCCCATACTAATTCTGTTTTCCTAACATATCCGATCGTTCAATTATCAGGAAACTTATAGAGCTCGAAGTCGGGAAAAAAATGCCCTCATACGCGAAAATTTGGAAACATATTCGATACCTATGCAAGAGATCAAAAGAAGATATATGTTTCTATTTATTTATTTATTTTTTTTTTTTTTTATGCATAAAATTGAATATATTTTAAAGTTAATTTTAAAATATACATGTCATAGATGACGACTAAATTTCTTACAATTATAATATATATATATATATATATATATAACCATTTCTACGACCGGATACAAGAACCTTTTATGTAAAGTAATCAAAACAAAATGTTTATAATTATGTTGATGTGTACTGCAACACAAAGTTTCACTTGCCTTCAACTGAAAATGATTCTCAATAATTCGAAAGATGTGAGAATAAGAGTTCAATTTGTTTACAATTTTTAATATTGTTCAAGTATTTGTATAAAAATTGCGTGCATGCGAGAGTAACCGTATAAAAATTTGCTTTCAACTCAAAATGATTCTCAATAATTCCAAAGATGTGAGAATAAGAGTCCAATTTGTTTACAATTTTTAATATTGTTCAAGTATTTATATAAAAATTGCGAGCATCTGAGAATAAGCGTATAAAAATTCTTTCGTTTATTTGTGTGGCAAGAACAAAGCTCTTAACAACCTTTCTATTTGAATGCAATGAATTTTTTCCGAAGAGAGCAAATAAATCTAAGAGCATTCAAAGAGAAAGAGAATATTACTTGCATACCAAGAAAGGTAAGATAATAAATTTCTCTTTCAATTTCATATATTAGGCTTAGGACAAAGTGTGTGCATTAAATTACTTAAACTACTGATTACCGCTGTATTAAGTTCTTACTAAGTTTCATTCTTCTGCCAACAAAATAAAAGTCGGAAATGTTGAAAAAATGTTTCGCATGTGAAATAAACATTAAAGCGAAATGTATTTTTCAGATTTTTCAGTCGGATGTTAGACTTCAGTGAGAACGGTCGATTTTCTAGTGGGCAAAAGTGTATAAATCGCAAAAAGAGAAACTAAAGTAAAATAAGTAAACAAGTGTTCCTTAAGAAAATTGCAAAGATTTTGGTGTGTTTTTGTTTTTTATTTTTATTTATTTACTTTTTTTTTTTTTTAGTGTTATCGTAATTAATTCGCGTCTTATACTTGCACGCAAACGTATAGAGAAGACAGAGATGCTGCTAATACCTATTTCAAGAGCGGCAGCTGTTTTATTGTTGTTGTTGTTTTTTTATCTGCACTCATTGTGTTTGTCAAATTATTAAGTGTTAACGATTTTCATGAACTAAAAAAGGAATTTATGCAATAATTTATTCACGTCAATGATTTTTAATTAACGGAAATTTTTATTTCTTTTATTTGATTTCTTTTTAAAATTTTTTCCTTCTTTATTCACGAATTTCTTCATATTCAACAAAAAGCACTTTTTAATTTATTCTGCATCGAAGAAAGTTTTGATTAATTATAAGAAGAAAACGTCACCGAAAAGAAAAACAAAACGAAAACGACACATTTTGTTAAGGGCTAACAAAAAAGCTTTAAGGAAATATACGTATCACCCCGCAACAAATAAAGGTAAGTTTCATACATACATATATATATATATATATATATATATATATATATATATATATTTATATATCATACATATACCCATACATATATGTATGCATATATATCGATATATATATATATATATATACCCAAGTTACCATATGTGTGTTTTTTATATATTCTATATATATTGCTATATAACATGCTATTAAATGTAGACATGCTCGCGAAAAACTACAAAAAGAAAAATAATATCATACGGTTTTGAAAAGAAACGTACGTAAGCTAATTAATGGAAAAGATCCTTAGATACGTGTGAATGCACACAACATTTGTGACACAATAAAAATGTAAACACATTTATACATTTACCGGTTTCATAATCCATTAACAGCAAGAAAAAAACAAATCATTAGTAAGCAAAAAAAAAAAGAAAGAAAGAAACATTTTATAAACTTATATAAAAGATATTCCCGAATGACTTAAGATTTTTTTGCTTTGGCCAAAGCAGCTTTATAAATTTTGTGAAAAATTTGCAAGGCATATTGATATGCCTCTAAATCAATGTCTGCCTCTCTATTGTCCAGTTGATGACATCACTTTTGAAAACACGATATTCTGTCTAGAACAACAACCAAACCTTGCTTTCATCAAGTTACGTTGTTCAAATGCGCTTAAATTGTCATCGAATTGAGATTTCTTTCTTATACCACCTCTCGCTCACTTTACACTCTACCTGTTGCATACGTGCTCGACCTTAAGAGGCTTTCAAAAATATAAAAAAAAGAGAAAGGGTAAAGTTGTCTTCATACGCACTTATTTCTATTCAATATTAATTCACCATTTTCATAGCACTTTTGGTATACAGGTGTCTCTTGTATAACACGGTTACTTCGTACCATGTCTTATACAAAACTTTTTTATTTATTTTGCTAAGCTAAGGTATAAAATAGAACAATATAATTTAAAATTAGATATGATATAAATTAAGGCAACATGTGCCATGTTTTAGGTTATGTCGAAACTGTATTTTAACAACAAGACTTTGAAACAATATAATCAAGGCAGTGACCCGTTGCGTTATATCGCAACCAAATCTTAAGGTGTAAAATTTTATGATAGCTCAAATATTTTTCCAAACATTCATGGAAAAGACAAAAATAATTTGAAGGTCTTATAAGAAAAAAAAAAAAACAAAAAAACAAAAATTATATTCGAAAAACCATAAACACTAATAATAACTAACAGTAATCTGATTTCTTTTCCCAACAATTAGAACAGAAAAAAAATGCAGCGGAACACATATTCGCCTTTTTGCGACCGTATTCTGTCAAAACCGCGCCGTGATATTGTACCCTGTTTGACAAGTATCGTGTTATACGCGGGCCGCTTGCTTACTATTTTGCAAATCAAAAAGAAAAAACATTAATATTTATTTTTTTGTTAATTTTTGTTTTCTAATAGCTTTTGTTGTATTTGCAATGTTTTTTTATATCTATAATTTATAATTTTGCAAATTCACTCATTTGTTATTTTTATGTTCTCGCTGCTTAAGCTTTAAATATTTATTATTCTATGTTTGTGTAAATCTTCAAAAAAGAAAAAAACACATTTTTCGTTGTCTTCGGTTTTCATGGTCTAACAAATGAAAATTTTCTTTTCCGGTTTATGCGAGGCATCACTAGTCATCTAACAGTAGATATCGGCTGTAGCTCTTCTATGGTAATATATGATATTCAATGACATCAATACAAAGCTCAATTAATATTTCCTCATTTCGTTGCAAAGAGTCTCCGCACTTTAATATCATTTTTGTGTTGAAATTGTTAGAAATTGTGTCGCTCTTCGACCAATAAGCTCTTAACATGCTTGCAGTTGGAAATTTTTACATGCCACCTTAAAAACTGCAAGCAAAATCTCACCAAGTCTGTTCGAAGATTTGCTCATAATTAGCCAAAAAAAATTTGCATTTTTTTCTAAATTATCATTTGATCCTTCTTCTTCATCTATGACAATGCATAGAATTACATCCCATAAGCCATTTACTATATACGATACCCAACGTACATAGAGCGATTAGATATCTACTATCAAATATGTTTCTTGCAACATAAGCTTGTTCATGAACCTATATAAATATCGTTTTTGAAATCGTAAAAATTTAGATGCTTACTAGCAATTCTACTTCCCATACGCGGATTAAGTTTAGAAGAAATTAAACGATTAGAAAATTCCTGCCTGTTTAGCACCTTTTCACTTGAAAAAGGCATTTATTGTGGAAAAGTGGTACAATATAGATTAATGAAAGTAATTTCCGTTGTCGTCTACAATATTTTTGGCGATATCAGATCGATAAAACCTTTTGTTGTGTTGACAGCGACCCATTTTCGCATTTCTGCAACTTTGTGGATTCGCTTGCCAGCCAAGCCATACTGCACCGATGTGAACAAGCGATAATCGGGAAGCGCCATATCTGATGAGTGCGCTGGGTGTGGCAGAGCGTTCCTTTCCTGGACAACTCTTGCCTCAAGTGGCCAAAAATGCCATTGTCTGTCAATTTTTGTCGCGACTTTTAAACGGTTAGAACCAAAGCGGATAGTTGGAAAATAATGGAGCAGCATTACCATAAGGCTCTGAACGTGTTTAGTGGCCTTTCGCGGCAAGATTTCTTGAAATAAACAACAAAGGAAAGGAATTTGGAAGAAGAAGAATTTTGAGTGCGCCCGGATTAACGTCGGCCTACGCTGAATAAATCAATAATATTAAATGGAAAACTGTGATTTCATGTAGAGGAAGGTTCAAACCATCGAACTGAATCATTATGTACATTGGTGTTTCCCATTTCTTTATCATTTTTATCTGTATATATATGTATTGTATAATAGATATCTGCAAAAATTTTAATCAGCGAGTTATGGATATCTATATATAGCTTGTTTCGATTTAGAAATTTAGAAAATTGCTCTTGTATAGCTTTGCCATAAAAGCAACTTGTTGACAAGTGGATGCATATGTAAATTGCATTCGTAGGTCCATTTATGCTCTAATTGCTTAAATTGAATATACTTGAGTTTGCTTTTAATATATTTTATGAATAAATTCGTTTCAAGAAACGAAATTTTTTTTTTGCTCTAAACAGCTCTCGATCGACGTCACTCGAAGAGGAACAAATCCAATAATCTGGCATAACGAAAGGAAAGATAGCCGGCAAAATTTTAGCATAAATCAAGTGTCATATTGTAGTTCATCATATTCCTCGGAGAAGGGTTTTTTTTTTTTTAATTTCTTCATATTTTTAGAGAAATTTCCCATGAAAAACTTGTTCAAACACATTCCTTCAGACATTCAGTCGAGATAATGTATTACTCCCTTTAGTTTTCACTGAATTACGTTTAGTTTTATTTATATATAACACACCTGAAACCGATCCATCCACACAAAATCTTACTCATTCAAAAAAAAACAAAAAAAAAAAAAAAAAAATATTATGATTCTTAACTTTCACAATAAAAACATTTAATCAGTAAACAAAAAACAAAAGCAAACATAAATATTAAAACGTTTTCGACCAATCCAATTGAAAGTTATTAAAGGTTATTAGCAAACATCCAATCGGTGTATAAACACTATATATTAAACGTAAAGCAACCTTGACTGCGAGCAATAACACATCTATAGACACATACTTATGTACACAAAATTTATCACTTGAAATACACTGTTGTTTTAAACGTGAAATAAAAGTTAAATACAAAAAAAAAATTGTCAAAATTGCAAAAAAAACGCAAAATTTAAATACCGGTTTTCTCAAATTGCACTGCATGCCAATATACGTGAAATTTCAATTACAAAATACACACTTAAATTAAAACAAAACAAAAAAATAAATAAATAAAATAAAACTGTGTTAATTAATCTTCGATTGAAATATCAACACGAGAATCGTTAATCTGTTAATTTATGCATAGAAACTTTAAAAGAAAACTCATAACAAAACTATTTCCCTTCATTCTACCCACTCACCCCTCATACTAGACTCTTCATTGTATTTGCAACAACTCGGACAACGTTTCCGAGAACCAAAGCCAGTTCTAAATTCACTTATTTATAAGAAGCTTTTTAAAGAGCAAGTCTTCCATGAAATTAGTTCCCAGCTTGGATATGATAGATAAAAAATAGAGTAGAGTAAGAGCCATTGAATGAAGAAACTTTTGGAAATTCCCAATATCACATTTCAATGCCTTCACTGTGACTAATCCATACTTAAGATATTTCACATCGGATTTTACTTACGTTTCCACTTTTTCAATAGCTCGTACTAGTGAATATGTTATCGTTGATCGCATATCACCCGCAAATGTGTTAATGTCTAAAGTTTAGTAACAATTCTTGCAATTAACTATATGCCTAATGTGGTCAATTCAGACCGAACGTCAAATACTCTACGTCACTTCGCCTATTACTGACATTATCATGTCATGCAAATACGTTAAGTAAATTTCAGAAAAATGCTTTACATAAGGGGATTAGGTATTTTTCATCTGTTATTCTCATTATTATTTTGTCATATAATGATTTATTTTTCATATAGTATGAACGGAGTAACTGACAATACTGACAATCTGTTATTGTGATTATTATTTTGTCATATAATGACTCATTGTTCACATAGTAGCAACGGAGTAATTAACAATACACTAACCTGATGTAAATTTAGTGCAGTTAAATTCTTGGCCAGAGAATTTATTCCTATCTCTTTACTTTCATCCAGAAATTAAAGGTTTATTCGTCATGAACACCCCTAAATGAGAGAAAGCCCGTAAAATAGATCGTTTTAGTACAAATTTCGTAAAGTACATACAGATGTCATTATTCTAAAACAATTTTCTATGTAGGAATTTAACTCTTCATTATTTTTTCTCATAAAATACTAAAGGTGAGCCTTTATTGCCACATAACGACCTATTTCTTCTAAGAAAATTTATATGAGCAGAGGTCAAAGAATGCTGATTAGTATCCAA